TGGTCTTTTATTGGGGGGACTCTGATTCTTAGAAATTTCCATCCAAAACAGGTCAAGAGGGGCAGGGTTACAAGGACAGGTAAGGTAACTCGATCCCTGGGGATGTAGGAAGGCACACCCATGCATGAAGACACATTTGGTGACATTTTTATGACTCTCAAGATTGGGGCCACCGTCTATGGCCACTTTGATGTGGCCAGATCACGGGACTTGACCAACAGAGCCTCACCAATCAGGAAAGGAAAATGCTGGTCACGTGACATGGTGGCCGCCCACAAGGGGGTGCTACAAGGCGTTCACAATGCCAGACCCATCCCCTCAGGAGGCTACTATGAGCAACAATCCACACAGCCCATGGACAGCTTGTGACACACAGAAGAGGGGAGGGTATTCTCCCTGGGGAGTTGCAGATATCAAAGGGACTATGGGGTGGCAGCTCAGTGACACTAGACAGGGCTTCTTCCTGGGTCTGACTTTGCAGGTTGGGCCTTGCTGAGCTCCAGTCCTCCCAGCCTCAGCAGGAGGCCACCTGGGAAAGTCTCAGGCTCTTTTCACTCTTAAAGAAAATGGAGAGTGAGTGAAAGCTCTCTAAGTAAAGATTTTATTTATTGTATTTAAATAGTCACAGACCGGCTCTCCTTTACCTGCAACCAACTTGCTCTTCAAAGCCCCTCTCAGGCGTTGCCTCATGAAGACTCCAGATGTCTCAGGATATCTTCTAAGCAGCCTGCTTTGCTGCTCCCAGTGATGAGCCTGGTTTAGCTTCACAAGGCCAGAGGAATGAAGAAACCTGATTGCCCACACCAAGTTTGCACTAGCTGTTGATTGCTATTAGAAAATTCAGTTGGTGCCGTTGTTGCACGCCTGCAATCCCAGCAGCTTGGAAGCTGAGGCAGGATGTTTGTAAGTTCAAAGCCAGACTCAGCAACATAGCAAGGCCCTAAGCAACTTATTAAGACTCTATCACAAAAGAAAAAATGAAAGGCCTGGGGATGTGGCTCAGTGGTAAAGCACCCCTGGGTTCAATCCCCAATGCTCCCCCCAAAAAATTGCTCAGTCAAGTTTATTGCAGCAAATCAAAACCAATTCATGAATCAGCAGTTTGAAGCAATTCAATTCATGAATTGGTTTTGCTTCCTGACTGCAGCAGATTCTGAGAGCTTCCACCACTCATCAGACAGCATTTATAGGAAAGCAGAAGTTAGTCTTCAAAAACCATGTGATTAGCTACAGCCTAGTCAATCCACCAGACACAGGGGTATAGCTTAACTAGCTAGTTGTTTACAGCCTACTCAGTTATCTGGCTGCAGGATGTTCTGTGACCAGCCAAAACTCAGTTACTAGGATTAAGCTCCATTGGTTTGGCCTGCTGGGCCCAGGGCAGGTTCCAGCCCAAGTTTAACAGGCCTGATATTCCTAGAGCAGAGGATTTGGGGGCAGCAGTCTCATTTTCTGGGTTGTTCCTCTGAGTTCCTCAAGCATCTTCAAGGACATCTGTGGGACATCTTTGAAGATGCTGAATTTTTCCTGTGAAGTCTCAAACTTCAGCCCCTGCTCATCCCAGTGCCTCCCTCACAAAGGACCTGCCTGCTCTCTCGCCCATGTCCTGTGTGGGTAGCAGAATTGGGGTCCCTCTTCATGGAGTAGGCTGGCTGCAGAATAAAAGCTAAAAGAAGGAAATGGCAAAAAAAAAAAACCCCACAGTACACAGGAACTAATTTTAAAGAGCAGGGGCGGACGGATCTTCAATCTTTAAGCTTTCTCACTGGAAAGAGATGGAGCCTGTGCTTGCTTTATTTATATGCAATAGATACATCAAAGGTTTTCCATGGAATGTTCTTTGCCAAATAAGGTAGGGGATGGGCTGTCCAGTTCCCAATGGGTTACGCCCAACTGCAGAGCTACAAGAGCTGTCTCACCTGTAGAGCAAAGATCTCATACCTTGGGTGGTCTGATACCACAGGAAAGCCGGGATGGTTCCCAATCATGTATCTCCTGGGTGGCTTCCCCCATGCTCTATAAAAGAAGAGCCCTTTTCTGTTTGAGACACTTGTGTATTTGAGATCAGAGCTTTCTCTTTAATACTCTATTTGAACAAAGTCTCTCCTGATTCTAAATCTGGACTTGTTATTTCACAGTCCAGGCTCACAAGTGAGGACTGCATCCTCTGTGTCAGACAGACCCACACTCCTGGCACCCTTCTCTACCCTTCCTGACAGGCCAGCCAGTCGCAGTCACACTGTGGATCCTGAAGTGGCCCTTAGGTGCAGCTCCAGTCCCTACAACATGCTCAGCTGCGGTCTGAGAGCCAGTCCTGACCACCCAGGATCTTGGGGTCATCATGCTCATTTGGCCACCAGAGGCAGCCTGCAGAGCTCCATCTTGGCTGGGGAACCTGGACCATCCCTGTAACTCAATTCCACCCCTCTTGGCCATAGTCCAGAGCCAGTGCTGACTGCCAGGGACTTATCCACTGACCCAGCAGAAGTCCTTCCAGGGCCCTGGAGGAAGCCCCAACCCATCTGCACACCTGGTAACTGGCCCCCTGTTCATGGTCCCTGAAGTGGGCCCTCAACACCAGTGCAGAATACTACTTACCACTGACATGGAATCCTTTGGTGTCACAGGAATCCTTTGGTTGACACAGGACTCCTTTTGTGTCCCTCACAGAATGTTAAAATCCCTTCATAAGACACACATCCATTATCTCAGAATAGAAAGGGATTTAAGAATGAAAACTCTGTTTACCTGGATTTCATTCAATGTCTCAGGGCAGGATACTGAGTGTAAGGTCAGGCCCCAGTGACCAAAAGGAGCAGATTAAAAGGCTGCTGAACAAGGCTTTATTGAGATTCACTCCCAGGTGAGACCCTCCAGTCCAACCGAGCAGGTCTGGGGAAGTTGTGTGCAGGCTCAGCTGTATGGGAATTTTATGGGGGTTATGGCAGGATAGGAGGAATTGGGACAGGAAAGGGTGGCTTTTAAGAGTCCCTTGTCCTACTGGGGTTAGTCGGGGCAGCTTGCTGAGATCCAGGATTGGTCAGGAGGCCCCACTGATTGACAGGTGGTTCTGTCAGGATCTGATTAGTGGTTCTTTCATGCACACAGGTTGCCTGGTGCTTTGTTCTGTTATCCACCTCAAACAGACCTAACATACCAGTCTTTTTCATGATACAGGCTGCCGAATTACATCTGGCTACTTCCTGCTGGCTAGGGGCGCTGGGGGGAAGTGGGTGGCTCGGGTGTCAGTTGGATGGAGAGGCGACTCTAGGGGTGTAGGAGCATCTGGTTGTAGGTCATTCTGGCAATTTTACCCATGTGCTTTCAGGTGAACCTGAAGTGAGAGGGAGCAATCATTAATAGAAACCCTATGACTAATATAGGAGTGAGAATGGGAGTCAGCCATGTAATGAGGGCAGAGTTTAGCCAGCCTGGCCAGGGGTCATTTGATTGTTGTTGTTTAAGACTTTCACCCAGTTGAAAGGATGGAGGGTGTCAACATTCTTTTCAACCAGTTCAGTTTTGCTGATATAGTAGCAGCATTCTTCTTTCAGGAATAGACAGGTTCCTCCTTTGTCTGCTGTCAGGAGATCAAGGGCTTGACAGTGCTATGATGAAACTTGGGCAATAGATGTTATTTGCTTTTGTAGAGAAGTGAGAGAGGTGGTCAATGATTCTGTCCCTTCCTAAAGTTGTTGTTCAAGCTTCTGAGTAGTGGTTACTGCAGAACCAAGTCCTCCTGCCCCTAGTCTGGAGGCAGTGAGTGAGGAGGGCAGGGAGAGTCCAACCACTACTGGTAGAAAGACGGCTCATCTTTCCCTGGAAAGGGAGGTGGTGACAAGCCATGTTAACTCAGCCTCACTGTACAGAGTTAATTGGGGGACCAAGATGGAAGGAGCACAAAAAGTGAAGGGCATGCTGAGGCTTAGATTTTTGTTAAGGTACCATTGCACTGGGAAAAGAACCCTGGCAGAGCAAAGGTTGGGGAAGAAATCTAAAAGATTGGGTCACAGGCTGCTGAACCAGAGGCAGTGTAGCAGCAGGAGAAATTCTCTGATGAGAATTTCCTCAAAGGCTGGAGAGGGGGGTCCTTGGGGTCTAGTTGAAGTGTGGAGAGGAAGATCAATGGGAATCGCAGTTAACAGAGTACGATCCAAACCTGCGCAGAGGAAACAGTCGGAAATGTTATTAACTTTGGGTAAATTGAGAAGCTGAAGGCCCTGATGTATTAGGGCCATCCAGAGAAAGGGTTAGCTTTAGGGTGGGCAACTGCATCCAGCTGGGGTTGGAGTTCCCTCTCTTGTTCCTGGATGGTTATGGGAATTTGACTTCTCCAGATTCTGATAGAGGCCAAGGGGAACTTGGCAAAACCCCAAGAATAAATTTACCATAAACACCAGAAGCCCATTTAGAGTCCCATAGGTCCCAAATGTTAATTTGGTGTATGCTCTTTTCTCATAGCAAGGCTTATCTAGGAAGCATTTCTTGCATGAATTATAAGGGCACCCACCGTAGGTGTCGGGCCAGCACTTACAAGATTCCTCAGTTTGGTCTGATATGAAGCAGAGCATTGCTGCACATAGCTGGGACCAGGTGGCTCCGTTGAATTCAGTACTGTTAAGGGTGACCGCCTGATTGTAGCCAGTGGAAGGGCAATTGACTTGACCCATAAACAGAGTGTGTGATGTCATCCTGATGCCATGTCACTTGGATGTAGAAGCGCCATCTATGGGTTGGGATAGAAGCTTGAGAGAGATTAATGATTAGTAAAAGAAGAAGAGGGTTGGTGAGAAATTTTGAGTTTGGTGGGTCCCAGCGTGGTGGAAGTCCAAAGGTGGACATTTGGAACTAGTGCCTTTTTAAGTCAGGAGACATGGTACCAGGAGGAGTAGCCCAAAATCTTGGCTTCCATTGAAGTAGTAAGTATGACTGTACGGGGTCCCATCCCTCGAGGTTCCAATGATTGAGGATGCAGCTGTTGAAGTAAGACTGTGTCACCTGGTTGAAGAGGGTCTGATTCAGATGCTGGTGTGGTGCTGGGATAGAGGTAACGGATGGCACAGGAAGGCACTGGTCTGCATGTTCTCTTAGGAGTTTGTGTAGAAGTGTGAGATAGGGCAGGTCGGACTCAGGGGAGGAGGAGTGACCGTAAAGCTTTGGTTGATCGAGGAAGGGCACCCATGGAGTAGCTCAAAGGGGCTAAGGCCTGAGGGGGCTTAGAGGCTGCCTGAATCCGGGTGAGGGCCAATGGCAGGAGATTGGGCCAGGAGAACCTGAGTTCAATAGCAAGTTTAGTGAGATGATCCTTGAGAATGCCGTTAGCCCTCTCAACCTGACCCGAGGATTGGGGTTGGTAGGTGATGTGGAGCCTCCAGTGATGTTGAGGCCTTTGGAGACTAGTTGAACAACCTGAGAAGTGAAGGCCGGACTGTTGTCTGACTGGATGGAAGCAGGAAGTCCAAACCTGGGAATGATCTGCTCAATGAGGATGGAGGTGACAGTGTCAGCAGTTTCCCTGGAAGTAGGGAAGGCTTCTATCCAACCTGAAGAAGTATCCACCAAAGTAAGTAGGTAGCAAAGATTTTTGTGCCTAGGCATGTGAGTGAAGTCGATCTACTAGTCTTCACTTGGCTGGTGGCCCCTCATCTGATGCATGAGGAGTTTAGGTTTGAGGCTCCCTTGTGGGGATACTGTGGAGCAGATAGAACAAGCCGAGTGGACCTGCTGGAGAGTAGTTCTCATTCCTGGGAAATAAAAGAGGGATTGTAAAAACTGAAAAAGGGGCTTGGGGCTAATATGAAGAGAGTTATGAATGTCCATCAGTAAGCTATAAGCTTGCTGTGTAGGGAGGGCAATTTGATCCCCCAGGAAGATCCAGCCAGCCTCCTGGAAATGGAGGTCCTGTCGTTCCTGTGGAGAATAGATAGGTTTAATTGTGGTGGCTAGAAATAGGATAGGGGCTGCTGAGGATTTGGCCATTAGTTCTCATGATATGGAGTCTGCTTTGATGTTGCCCATAGCTATAGGGCCAGAGGAATTTTGATGTCCTCTGCAGTGTATGATGGCCACTAATGATGCAGTTGTAGTGTCTCTAAGAGTCTAGTAATCAGAGAGTCATTTTCCACCAGTGATCCTTTTGTTGTCAAGAATCCACATTCAGAGGCCCAGAGTGGTCAGGCAAGACAGAATCAGTAGCTCTGGTGTCCACAAGGAAGGTTATGGACTTACCCACTACCTGGAACGTTAGCCTGGGCTCAGCGAGGGTGATGGGAGTCCTTGAGTCTGGGCTTCCTCAAGCTTCTGTGAACCCCAATAGTCAAGAGAAGGGACAACTTGGATGGTCATACCCCCATGTGGAGGTGCTGAGGAAGGGCCAGCCATGGGGCAGTCATTTTTCCAATGTCCTGTCTGCTTACAGGTGGGGCACAGCCTGGAGGGGGGGACCATGGCTTTGGGCATTGGCGAGCCCAGTGACCTTTGCATCCACATTTGAAGCCCCTGGTGGAGAGGAATGCTGGGTCCCCCGTGGAGCTCTTGCTGGAGTCATAGGCCTGGGTTTGCAGTGTTACTTTTCTCTGCAATTGAGCCTGCCTGCCTAGCTCAGTCGATTCTTCCTGAGCATTATAGACTTTAAAGGCCATTTTCTTCAGATCTCAGATAGGGGTCTAAGGGCTCTTCAGCCCATTTGGGCTTTTTTTCTAATATCATGGGCCAATTGAGGAATTAAATGGGTTGATAACACTGTAGCCCTGGAGGGAGACTCAAGATCCAGCTTAGTATATTTGGTGAGGGCCTCTGTAAGGTGGTTGAGAAATAAGGCTGGATTCTCAACTGGATCCTGGGTGATTTCTCTCAGCTTATCAAAGTTAACCACCTTGTTGGAAACCACCTGCATGCCCACTATAAGATTTTGGACCATGTGAGCACAGTGATGGCGACCTCCTTGGCCATCCTGGTAGCCCCAGTTTGGTTCGGTTAGGGGAACAGCTATTTCACCTATGGAGAGAGTTATATCTGCTAGACAAATTTGATCAGCATGATCTCATGTGGCCTGCTGGATGAAGATTCACTCATCCAGGGTAAGAGTGGAGGGGAGAACGATATAAACATCATGCCAGGTAAGATGGTAAGTCTGAGAGAGGTATTGGAATTCCTTAATATAAGTAGAAGAGTCAGAAGGGAAGGACCCAAGGCACTTTTCAATCTGGAAAAGATCTTGAAGTGAGAAGGGGACAGGTACTCGGACAATCACTTCAGCACCAGCCACTTCCCTGAGAGGACAAAAAAGCTTTGGGTTAGCTGATAAGAGGGCCTGGTGGGGCCAGGTGTGGGCACTGACAGGAGAAGAGAGGAGTGAGTGGGTGGAGGGATCCATTGAGGAGGAAGGGGAAGAGTTGTATCAGTAGAGGAGGGGGCAGAGGAATCCTGACTGCAGGAGAGGAGGAGGGAGAGGAGGGGAGAAGGAGGGAGGAGGAGGGTCCTGGAGCAACAGAAGAGGAACTATGGGGGAGCAGGGGAGGAGCAGCTGTGGTTGCAGGAGGAGGGGGAGGAGAGGAGGGAGAGGATTGGCCTGGGTAGGGAGGGGGAAGACAGGAAGGTGGGGATGATAGCAGCTGGGGGGATCTGGGAATGAGGAAGAAGATGTAGGAGAACAATGGGAAAGGGGTTTGGGATTTTCCTTAGCAAGAAAAACTTGAGCAGAGGACAGGTAGAGCAGAGGGTAAGACGGAAGTGAATCCCAAAAAATCTGGATGTAAGGGACTTCTGCCCACTTCTCTGTCCAGTGACAGAAATTGTCCAAAACAGTGAGGATTTGAAAAATCAAAAGTTCCTTCTGGGGGTCATTTTGATCCATTGTCTAAGTCCTACTGGAGCCAGGCCACAGTGGAGTAAAAGACCAGCCACTTATGGTGTAGGTCTTGAGTGAGTTCTAATTTGGCAAAATTGGAATATAAATAACCCAAAGGTGTTTGGGGTCTAAGGAGGACTCGCTGTTTCCCATGACCTTCCAGCACTCTTGGGGGTGGGTGGGAGCAGAAAAAGGTGTCCCAAATTTTGATCACCCAAGG